CCATCGGTAACTGATGGCAGTGTGATCAACTTGAGTTTGTGGCTGGCATGCTGTTGCAGGACACAATGTGGCCAGACGACTTCAGCTACTTCGGAAGTTAGTACTGCATGAAAACAGCCTGCGATCAGCATACAGCTGAAGCAGTCGTTCACCACTGTCCGAACATATCGAGTCTAAACCATGTTGACCTCCTAATTAAGCTTTAGATACGCCAAGCCTGCCCACTTGTACTTTCATATCTCCGAAAACCACCACGATACCTGATCTACTAGCTCACCGCAACAGGGCATTCTGGGTGTCGTAAAACCTGTCTTTGATGGCTTCAGAGCTGCAGTCAGTTGGGGCGTACGGAGATACGGTAAACGAACATCTATGAACTGCTCGCTTGTGAGACCCCTCCACAGACGTTGCCAGACTGTCGACAGGTACCCGGTCAAACAAAGATATTTCCGCTTCGTGAATTAGAACGACACCAATCCCTGCTCATCCCGCCGCTGGAGTCTCTGGATCACCAGAGGTGCGTACCCGGAAGCGAGTGGAGACTGACGAAACGGTTAGCTTAATCACTGTACTTGCATGTTGAATTCTTGTTTCTGAGACACAGCACACATCAGTGCCAAGCGAGTCCAGTGTGAGTGCAAGAACAGCTTGTTGTCCTGCTTGCTTTAGATTGGGGATATTGAAGGCAGTCGGAGAGATTGAGCATCGGAGCTTGAAGGTTGATTTCGCGATACCTGAGGATGTTGGCGTCGTGTGACGAGCAGATGTTGCACGCAAAACCAATGCAAGAGTCGCCAGTCTTAAGTGTTGGACTTACAAGAGGAGAGTTATTAATGGGATGGGGAGAGAGCGAAGGAAAAGTCTATGTAAGAGGAGCAAGGGAGCCGTCAGCAGTAGCCTGTTTTCGCTTACCCGCCCTGTTGTATGCAGCGAGTAAGGTGACCCAAATGATGGCACCACGCGACGGCTGATCTGGCATGGGAGTATTGTTAATTCTGTCACGGTTTTACGTGGGCTGGGATACTTTCAGGGCGCCCACACATAGACGAGAGGACGGTTGGGGTCCTCAACCAAAGCCCTTGACTCAAAAGCCTAACCGCAAGGCAGCGGTGTTTGGCGCGAAATGCAAATGCACTACCATTTCTATGGAACAAGTTACCACATGTTTCAACCCCTAACCTGGAGGACCAAGAGACTGTGTTCGTCAGACCTCTACCCATGGACCAACCTGGTATGAGAGCATGAATGTCACGGGGACACCTCCAGTATGACTCAGTGGGTAGCTGAGATGTGCATACCCTCACTATGGTACGATCCAATGTCTTCATGACTTCACTCAGGGACTGTATTTAACACTACATACTAAGATGCTTTGGTCATGTGCTTGGCCTATCGAGGGATTATATGTTAAGAAGAGTAGCGGATGTCTAGATGTGTACAGAATACGACGTGTCAGAAGGGAATGCAGGCTGTCACGAAGACGAGAGGATGCTGTTGGTGTTGTTGGCCCTTCGGGACTCTCACGTGACTCTCTGTGTTTGGCTGGAAACATAGTTCAAAGTAACAAAAAAGAAAGAAAAAAGAAACACGTGTTCTCGGCAATTGCTTCTGACTTTGAATCTTCAATACCAGCTTAGGTATGATGATGGGTTGGGTGCGAGACATGGCCTCTTCAGGTAGATGATGTGAGGCGTCTTCAGGTTTTCACCCACCGATGCCTCAGAATCGTGGCTGGTTTTGGATGGCGTCAGTGTGTTAGTAACGAGGCGATTAGAAAACGGGTATTTGGTTATGCTGCAGGCACCTCAATCCGAGAAAACATCCAGCATCATCGACTGCGGTGGCTCGATCATGCATGCCGAAACACCGTCTACCGAGACGAGTGTTGTTCTCCGTGCTTCCTTCAGGATGGTGCAAACCGCGAGGTGGACAGCACATGAGTTGGCAGAAAGGCGTGAAAGAGATCACGAAGAGTTTGGGTGTTGTTGGTCTTGTACGCCTCCCAGGATGGGGTCCCTGTGACCCTGGCTGTGCTTGGCTGGAGACGTTGCAAGAAATGGCGGCTAATCGATGTCAGTGGCGTTATTGCTTTCAGTTTCTTTCCAGATTGTCTGATTGGGCGGTTGGAGGTGTAGGCCCCTCAGTATACTTGACATAGCCCAGCACCAGGTCCCCTCCCTCACCCACTCTTTTTCTCCTCTCTTCACTGTAGGGCTTTTAATACAATTATATATATATATATATATATATATATATATATATATAGACGAAACTTATGGTTGTACGGCAGTGAAGCATCAGTACCAACACTGATGTTGCTGTCTTTGATGATGATGATGACGACATGGTCTGACGTCTTGTGTTTTTGGGACGACTGGTGTCCAGAACGTGAGCATCGCTATCGGTAAATGATATGCATGTGATCGAATCGTACAAGGCCCGGGGCCCAATACTACTGAGAAACAACTAATACCCAATATACATTTGCAATAGATATTCACGCTTATCAACACTTCTTGAGTGTAAACTACACATAACACTGAGCCCTGTGCCTTTTTGATTGAGCCACTCAGCTTCTGCTTTGAGTTCATAATTTGTTGCACGGTTGCACGAGGGCTGGGATACTGACAGGTTGCCCAAGCCTGGATAGGGGAAGTCGAAAGGCAGAGGTCGGGTTCGAAACACGGACCTTGTGGTCAGTAAGTTCGCGCGCTAACCACTTGGGCCATCTCGCCATGTTTAAACCGTTCACGGTGACTGAGAATCGTCTAGTTCCTCACTAGATGTCTTCGCTGAATGAGTGTTGCAGTTTAGGCATGCCCAGTGAGTTCAGTCAAGATTTTATCCTGCAAGCGAAGTCATTCTGTGCCGAAAATCCGATCCTTTTATCGGTAATCATCATTGGCGGACACCTCACAAATCTCCAGGGTTGTTTGAACTCAGTCAAGATCTTTTGTTCATACTATCAACAAACCACGAGTAGCTCAGAAGGACGATCCGTAGTTTTATATATGGGATATGTTATCAGCTGGAAACCAAAGCAATCTGACATGGTGGTTGCAGTAAGTGGTATGGTGAAGGGAAGGCTAGAGTTATGCCATAGATGCAATCTTCGAAACCGCTTACACAGCCCTTTGAGCATCCAAATAAGTACTATATTTTCAGAATCACTGGCTGTTGTTGGAGGCTGGAAGAACGTTCTGGATGCTGTACTTTGACTGCCAGTGTCAGTTCATCGACCGCCGCATAGCGATGAGAAGGTCCGTGGTTAGAAAAGACCGAAAATTAGAAAAGGATTTTGGGGTGAGCAGCCATCCATCATTTACCAAGTGCTCCTGTCTTCCGCGAAGGAGGAGCTTGGAAAATGGAAGCCACGGGTTGACTACTCATTCACAAAACCCCCGAGGGCTGAATGGTTTGCTCAACGATCCATTTGATTTCTTGAAACATGCGCACTGGATTAGATTGAGAAAGCATTAACTCATGGTTTCCGTTTAAAACCTAACTAACGGTTCAGCTGTGGTACCCTTTCGGTATCGAACTGCCATGCCACCAGAAGGAGGCACGAGGGCTGGATACTGCCAGGTTGCCGAAGTCTAGACAAGAGAAGTTGATAGACAGAGGTCGGGTTCGAACCATGGACCTTCCAGTCAGTAAATTCGCGCTCCAACCGCTGATCCCCCTAAAACGTAAGTCCACAGGGAGAGACGGATTATGAGCTCCCTTCTTGAAAGCTGGTGAAGTAAGATGCTTTGCTGAGGCACCCGTTAACTTAGTGGGACAATGGGACGACCGACTGAAAACGGTGTACTCATCATCTAGGCTTTTCATCCGAGGCACCAGCACACGTGACGTTAACCGATCGAGTGAAGGTTACTGGCGCCGTATCATATCTATGCGTAATTTAATCGCGCTTCTAATCAGTTGCTTGTGACCCTAATGGTCGGTTGTTTTAATCTTCATGGAGGTTCCTGAAGTGCTAGTGATTTTAAGGAGGGACGAACCAACTGTACAGTTCTCGGTTTTTCGGGAGTGGAATATTTTTTTTAAACTTCCACTTGTCCTTACGAACTACCGGCGAATGGTCAGGTTATTGTATCAACCAATTGTGGATCCTTACAGAAACCTAAGTCATGGGTTTGAGATTCAACATGATGTTACGAGATGGCTCAGTGGTTAGAGCACGAATTCACTGCCTGGAACGACCGTGGTTCGAACCCGAACTCTGCCTCTCGCCTTCCCCTGTCTAGGCTTGGGCAACCTGGCAGTATCCCAATCCTCGTCCTTCCTTCGGGTAGCATGGCAGGTAGGCACCGGAAGGGTGCTACAGCTGAACGATTTATTTTTATTGAGAAATATGTGGTCAGATCGTAAAAATCTTAGCTTCACCAGGCCTTTTTAACTTTTCACATTAGTTGGTCGTTGGCTTGTTCGCTGAGCTGGGCAATTTGGTTGCAAACGTTTCATCACCAATCGAGCTGACATCATCAGTGCGTAGTTGTGCGTAGCGGTGGGTTAGTGGTTGTGCCACTAGGGGCGCAATATTCATGGGAGCTTTACTGCCTCGTATATGGTTTTGAAATACTATCCAGTGTTTTACCGAGAGTACGTCGGCTTTAGCAAGCTCTGGTAGAGTATCAGTTGTACCAACATATCATCCAGGACTTGGAATCTGGGGAGCTTTTTTCGTACATATTCAGGGAGGGTGCGTCTTTAAAGTGAGATCTCCTTATAAATATCATGGAACATCTTCAGACGATAGAAGTTTCACTGTTTGTTGTCCCGTTTCTTTCAGTTGCCAATAAACGAAATCCGTAAACTTAGATACGTATGACGTTGTTGGCTGGAAGGTTACAACCGAATGCCTTGCGCTACCCCCGCCTTGAAATCATCGGGTATGTTTCTTTTTTTGCGCAATACTCATTCTCATTTCAGTCTGTCTGGTACTTTCAGGTAAACGAAAATGTGGAAAGGACTACATCGCAAACCTTATAGAGACCATGTTATCCAAACTGGCCCTGTCTTTCGTTGTTGTACGTCTTAGTCACCCCATCAAGTCATATTATGCCAGTATCCACAATTTAGACTTGGATGCCCTGCTGTCATCCAGTCCCTACAAAGAAGCGTATCGACGGGAAATGGTTGCCTGGGCAGAAGGCCAAATGAAGAAGGATCCGTACGTGTTTGCTCGTCAGGCTCTGGAAAATAGCTTGGCTCAATTCAGCTGTTGCTCACCAGCATCCACACCCGATGTCATTCTCGTTTCGGATGCCCGTCGTCCTTCCGACATGGACTTTTTTACCGAGGTCTGTGGACGACCTAACTGCATTTTCATTCGAATCACTGCGACGGAGCAGGTGCGTATTGCCCGAGGATGGCACTACACCGAGTCGATTGATGATGCAACCACTGAGTGCGGACTTGATGCCTTTTCCGATTGGGACTCCCGTGTGGAAAACAATTTGTCCAGTGATGGACATAAGGAACTGTTGGATCAACTTACTGAACGCATTTACCGTATTTTACGACAGTGAAAGCTTGTGACCACTTGCTTGGTAGCAACCTTTTTTTTACTCGCCTCAGGTGCTATTTTGATTTGCGATTTTCCGACGTGATCTACATACATACTTTGTTTCAAGAGAACCGACTGCGTTACGTCAATTTAGTTGGGTATTATGGTGAGAAACCATAAGCATTATGAGATCGAGATTGCTCAGTGGTTAGGGCGCGAATTTACTGATCAGAAGGTCCGTTATTCGAATCCGACCTCCGCCTCTCGATTTCCCCTGTCTAGTCTTGGGCAACCTGGCAGTATCCCAACCCTCGTGCTTCCTTCGGGTGGCATGGCAACTGAATGATTAACTTGTTTGCCATCAAACAGTTGCTTTCTAGTCGATTGTTTGCAATGAAGTCAACTTCAGCTTCTTGGAAAAATTTGCCGGAGTCATGGCTCGCTGTAGGGTCATCTTAGCAGTGGTCTAATTCTATTAGGATCTGGACCGCGAACCGGTGGTCTCCAAACGTTTTAGCTCAATCCAAACTCAGTTACACATAGATGACACAATTTTGTGTGCACTGCGGTAACGGTGAGAGTCATTTCCGTCAACAAAACTCCTCTGACGAGAAGTTACCGCCCTCAGTTCCGCTTGCGAACCTTGGCTTGGTATTCGATCTCTAAAAGAAGCCACTCAAGTAGAGCCCTAATTATACATTGCTCAGTGATAGTCTGCCGTGGAGATTAATGCACATGCAATAAATTATCGCCTAATGCGATGGGCGGGTTTGGCGGATGGCCTATAGTGCCCAGGTATCAGGCTGCTCGGAGCTATTTGTGCCTGAACACCGAATTTGATGGATTCAAACAAATACAAACCACGGCTCTGCCAACTTTTGACTCAAATTAAACTGCGGCGTGCGGAACGAAGGCCATCTCGCGGTCGATTTGAGCCCGACCGCCTCACTTTACCTGTTGGTGCTTCCCATTAGAAGGTAGCATGAAAAGACTTCGAAATCGCAGTTGAGATTCCATCCTGTAGTTGGGTTCAGTCTCACCGAAAAGACAACTGTTTCATCCTTATTGGAAATCCAACGAATCTCCGACGGGATTCGGACTCACAACATCCTTGCTAGTATAGTTGAGTTCCGTGGGGTGCATGTTACTGACGATTCCAAATAGGGATGAAACCGCCGTACAGTGCTTCAGCAGAGACTGACAACACCTACGAGACGAGATCTTTGTTGCAATTTCTAAACCGCACTACAATTTACCCCAGGGAAATACAATTTACACGAGGTGTAAACCTTCTTCCATCTGAGAGGCTGGTTACTCGAGGAATGCGTAAACACGTTAGGTGAATCCCTTGATTGAAGAATGAATGAATGTTTAACTACGAGTTAATCATACTGTAATCAGCCGCCAGTTGCGAACAGGTTTAGCTTGTTGTGAGTTCCACTCTTCCCAATTCGCTGTTTTTTCTGTCTTCGTTTTCGCATTGGTTCGTGCATGTAAATGATACGAGAAGTGACACCCCTATCGAATGTATGACAGTGAAGCATCAGTGTTAACCCTGAGTTCGCTGTCTCTGATGGTGATGATGATGATAATGAATGAGTGTCTGCCCTCGTCGCCTCATGTCCGTCCTTCACTGATGCTTTATTGTTTGACTGACTTGAACAAGATGTTTGACGGAATGCCTATAGTTGAGATGGCTCAAGTGGTTAGAGCGCGAATTTACTGACCAGAAGGTCCGTGGTTCGAACCCGACCTCCGCCACTCGACTTCCCCTGTCTAGGCTTGGGCAGCCCTCGTGCTTACTTCGGGTGGCATGGCAGTTAGGCACCGAAAGGGTGCTACAGCTGAACAGTTTATTTGGGTATCAGGCTGACGGTGACTTCCTAAAATTATGGGATCCTGATTTTGGGAAATGTGGAGTCGAATTGTAAGGAAAATCATATCGACTACACGACATTTTTCGCTATTCCGGCTCAGCTACTCTTTCCAAATTGTGGCTAACTCGACTCCCTGGAATTTCACGCTTGTCACCGCCCGACTTGTTGCGTTGTTCTAACACCGCTTTCAACAGATTACAAAGAAGGACCAAGTGAACTGCAAACGATGCATTTGACTTTTACCAGCTTCCGTTGACATATCGGTTAGCTTCCTGATACTTACCTTGTTTGGAGCGAATAGAAGTGTCTAGGTAGATTCCCATGACTATCTCCACCCGTTGTATCTAGTTGTCTCCTGAATTGCTCTTTAGCCGGTGTCGACGGGCATGCGAAAGCATTTGTGTATGTAGAAACTTTGTTCCCCCTTCTCGCTCATCTGCTTACGTCAGGGGCATTTCTTAGAATTGACATTCTGAAGCTGGTACCTGTATGATCCATTCGTCATCGTGCCCACCAGACAGCCATCAAGCTGGTTATGGTTATCTACCAAATGGATTTCAGTGTCTGTTGAAGCAGCTTTGGTACTTGGGCTAGGTCGAAGAATCGAATGGACCTTTCAGAAGTTATCTCCGTTGGTTGAAGCAAACAAGTGGTTAAAATCGAAAGAGGATTGGATAGTTCTTGAAGTGAACAGTTCGGGTACGTGCATCGTGAGTGAAAAGACACTTATAAATTGACTCGAGAGGCAGACGCGCTTGCCGGATGCATACTTTGCCGAGTGATCTGAAGGAGGCGCTCGCTCTTTGTCACAACCATATGCTTGAGTTTCTCGGCTAATTTGCCGCACATCCGCTGAACAAAGTAATGGGTAAACAACAGGTCCGTAGTTCCGCAGGATCGCCTTTTCGCTCGTGACTCCAATTTATCATATTTGCCGAAGTAAGACAATTATGTCCGGTGAGAAGTATTCAATAATTACGTTAGGTAGGGTTCGTTACACCTGACTATTTGCTCACAAGGTTGCTGAAAACTCTTCGACAACCCACGACCGGTTTCGCCCTTCTTGGGGCTCATCAGGTAGGCGA